CCCCAAAACCCCAAAACCCCAAAACCCCTAATGATATCACAAGATTGCCGAACAATTTAGATTAATTAATTTTGATTCGAGTCAAGCCACCAACATAGACTTCAAAGGATTCGCAAGCATGCTGATAGTGTCGATTCTATCCAATATCTGATACATGGTTGTATTTCTATTCTTGCAGCTTGAGTTTGGCAGATATGGCATCAGACTATCCACTTTCGGATTCATATTTGCAATGTTTTCGGCTGCCTCAATGATTGGTTCTTTGTTGGTCGGCAAAATAATGATCGTGTTTGGTAGAAAGATCATATTGCTACTTGGAATATTCATCATGGGACTTTGAATGGCACTTTTCTCAACAATAAGCTATCTTGAAGATCCATCATTAGTTGTATTCTTTTGCCTTGTGTCGAGATTCGTACAAGGCTTTACTTCAAGTATGATCCAGACAACTTGATACTCAATTATCTCTGTGATTTACAAAGAAAAGAAGCAGCAGTACATGGGATACTACGAAGGGTCTCAAGGATTCGGATGGGCGATAGGTCCAGCTATCGGAGCCATTCTTTACTCACTCTTCGGATTTCATTGGACGTTTTATATTCTTGGGGGTTCTATGATTTTGACGTGCCCCCTAATGTACATTCAAATTCCAAACGCTATCAATGAAAATGACAATTTAGAGCAAAGTATGATAGACGAAGAAGTTGAACAATTTGGCAAGTCTTCGTTAATCGTCAAAGCAACCTATTCAGAGTTATTTAAAAGGAAAGTATTTACATTGTCTGCTGTTTGTGCAGGACTATCTTATTATTCGTACTGTTATTTTGAGCCAGTGCTTCCTACAAGACTTCAAGCTTTTAATATTTCTACTGCTGAAATCCTCCTGTTTTTCTGTATATACCCAACCGGCTACTTAGCTTCAAGCTGGTTCCTTTCATTCTTCACTGATAGGTACGATTCGAAGACTCTTATTTTTGCAACAATTTTCATCTGAGGATTAGCACAATTCTTGATTGGCCCAAGTTCGTTTTTGGCTGACAATTTGATACTGATGGGAATAGGCCAATTCTTTTGTGGAATGGCCAATTTTTTCTTCTGTGTCCTTTCATTACCCGTGATGATTCATGATGCTGAAGAGAGATATCCAGAACAAAAAATTTATGCAGCAGATCTCTCCTCAGGTGTGTTTAACTTTTCATTGGCTTTATGACAAACTCTGAGCCCAATCTATGGTAGCTTCATGACAGAGAGAATAGGTTTCAGAAATGTGGCTACTTCTATTGGAGTCCTTCTGATTGCATACTCACTAATCTACTACTTATTCTGAGTTGTACGAACCAAGAAAAGTCATGAAGAAATTGAGTTGCAAGAGTCTAAGCTGGACACTTCACAAGAAAATATTAAGACATAGAAGATATGATTCAACCCTAATCTATCCCTCTGGGGTTTTGGGGTTTTGGGGTTTTGGGGTTTTGGGG